CCATTGGCCAGTTAATGGTCCCTTTCGCAGTCGAATATTCGTGTTGGATTAACTTAAACAACTGTATGTCCGCGCTGCCTCCATTGGTGAGTGATAATCTGTGAATCACTGTATTTATCGAATACCACGGCGGCTTTGCTATTATATTTGCACAACGTTAAGTAAGCGTACGACTATATCCTTGTAGGTAGCGCCTGGTTGCCATGGAATTTTTCTCAGCAAGGATCCATCATCGAGGACGAAAAAATTTTTCTGTTTTAGTTTGTTCCATTTTGTTATATGTGAAACATATAGAAACAACTTTGGGAGTTACCTGCTACATTATCTACGTGACTGGCATGTTGGTCGTAAAAACGATACAACAAAAGTGAAATCAAATTATTAAATGTGATGAAACAGAAGACGTTTTTTGTCATAATTTCTTTCGTCTTTTTCAAAATGTATAAGGGGTTCCATCACAGCCTTTTTGATTTTCTCATTAGTATTTTTCTTTTTTTTATTAGTTAAATTGGCATTAAACTACATTTAAAAACTGTATTGTCTTCTGTCTTAATATTTGTAAAAGTGTCAGCACCTTCAGCATAAAAGGAATTTTTCACTTTCATGACATTTGTATTTGATCATTTCACAAAATGAGCCAGAAAACAAATTAATGTGATTACGTAATTTAATTACCTAAAATTATCTTTTTTTTTTCAATTTTGACACACATATTTGAAATAAATCTCTATTTAAACATATGCATTCACAAGTTATTAAATCATTTGATAATTTTATTTTCTGCTATCTTAATTTAAACTCTCACTACTAATATTTAGTGGCCTATGCCATTCCGCTTTATTGAAACTATTGTTAGAAACTATAACTGTACGTATTTGAGTAAATATGTATAGAAATATGTCTCCTACGTTGTCCAAAGATTTTAACTAAATATAATGAGCCATTGTAAAGCCAATCACCGAAACTAGGTCAAACTGCTTAATAAATAATTAGTACTCGGTTTCTCATTAACCCATTTAAAACAAATTCAGTTTTATTAAGATCAAGACAAAAATAATATACTTTAGAAATATTTTCAGGTATAATTTACAACGTGTTTGAAATGAAAATGGTTTACAAAAAACGGAATGCCCCTTTAATAAGTATCTCTTCTCGTTTAGTTTTACTCGTCAGAAAAATAAGTCCCAATGAGAGGGAAATATATTATTTCAAACGGGAATTAGTTCTAATATATACTGAAATATAAACATATCGAAGTTAACCTACATAAATCGGTTTTTGGCATTTTTAGCTCAGTTTTCGTTGGCTTGGGCCTTTCGGGAGTTATTAGCCGATCAGATATGTGCTATCTCCTTATCGTGAGACCCTACCTCAGTACATTATAGCCTACTGGCTGGTCGTGTTTAGTATCCACAAAAAGGTTGTTGTGTGAAGAAGAATATGAAATCAATAATGTATTACGGTTGTTAATGACCGGGGTATCTAAAACAAAGCAATAACGTGCTCATACTGGCTTCTGACACAGTTTCGCATTTGTTTGACTACATAAATCGTACATACGTATGTGTGATCACTTTTTGTGCAAGTAAAATGTTTATTGTTATTTTGTTTAAACGTTTTTAACTTTTAAATAAATTGTACATGTCAAGGCATACCTCAAAATTAGTTAATTATAGGAATTGTAAAAAGGTTTTCTAAAATTTTTATTTGTATCGGGGACACTGATAGTATTAATTTGCACCATTCTTATTTTCGATCAGACGTCTTTGGTTCCTGTATTTCAACTAAAACGGTGTGTTTGATGACATCTCTTATCATAAAATAGTGCTTTATCACTTAAGGCCATTCGCGATTACTGACGTCATCAAACACTAATTAGTCCAGTCCAAAATATGATACCCCCTACCCTGAATAAATTGCAAGAAATTGTTTTATGATGTTATTTTGTACTACAAGGTTTGCAGAACAACAAACTAAAAGTTTACCATAATCCCTTCACCAGAAAGGGTCCAATTTTGACATTTGACACCGATAATTACGATTTTAAAAATGTCAAGGTCTGTCTTAAATCGATGTTTTGTTAACTGGACCTTATCTCGCTAACAGTCTCAAAGTTGTCTTGATGAAGTTCCGTTTAGGACGAATAGCTATAATATCGGATCTTGACAGTAGGTGTTTCATCAAGTTCCCGTTCGCTGTCTATGGTTATGGCCCAACCGATGACTTAAGTTTAGAACCTACCTATTTACATGCAAAAACATTTTTCACTGGGAATTGATATGGCCAAAGTTTTCGGATGTATTACGGTGTTTAAGCTACATATACGATAAGCTGCGGAACGATAACCTGTGCATTAATCATTAGTATTAACAATTTGAGCTTACCAGAGCATCTGTAGCTGTCAGACTCAATATTAATTATTCGACGCAATTCAAATGTGGATCAATGGAATTATGTGAACACCCGAGAGAACCCAGCTGACTTGGCTTCTCGCGGACTTTCAGAGAAAACAGTTTAAAGGACCCAAATTGTGAACTGATGAATATTGACCCAGCCCATCAGTTTTAGATCATTTGCCAGATTTAAATGATGGTCCAGAAGTACAGCGGTCTGTTAATTTAGTTCAGGCTGTTGAAATTTTGCACTTATAAACTATATTGTTTATACTGGATACGTTTGATAGCCTTACCTTCACTGGTTTTCGAAAAAAATTTTGGAATAAAGTTTGTCGACTAAGCTATTATTCTATTTCGGGGAAGGGAGGGTTTGATTGAAACTATTTTTCGTTAAACAATTAAAATATCTAGTTGATGTGGTTAAAATTTGTGAAAATTAAACATTAAAGTTTTAAAATCTAGAAAAAGGCCAAATCATCTTACTTAAACTATCTCCAGTTTCAGTATTAATAGTTAGAGATGCCCACTAACCTGTAGGACATCTGGGAATAAACGCTACACTTTCTTACATACGATACGAAAGAACTATTGTAATTGCATTTAGTCTGTGATATCCAAATATATTGTAGGTACAAAACATGCTGCTAAAAATATCAGATCTATCGGTCAAAAGAGTTAGTTCAGGTGAAGCTCCCTTTCAGCCGAACCGGTGTCGATTGTCATAGTCACATTTCCTTTGGACAATATTGAAAACTTTACTCATGAACGTTCCTGAAACCATTCAAAAAGATGCGGAGTTTGCACTATGCCTTTTGATTGCATAGATAGGAGCACAGCGAAAAAGGGCATGTACCTTCTTTGTCAATGTACAGTCTGTAATTCCGTGGTCGGGAGTCAATCCTGCAGATGCCGCATCATAAACTGTTCAATGGTTTGATCATAGACTTGCCAATCTTCAGCGTAAAGAATCCTTTTTTTTTTTTGTTCTAAAGGTGATTTCATAAGTTTATAGTAGTTTTCAACAGTTGCAAATAGTTTCCAGAAGCTTCTGTATTAACAAGTAAAAATATGAAAGTAAATGTTTTACAGTGATATATAGAGTGGTAGGTGTCTATGACAATTAGGAAAAGTAATAATCACACATCTGCTTAGAAATGTAGGGTTAACCAGATGCTCTGGTAAGCTCAAATTGTTAATACTAATGATTAATGCACAGGTTATCGTTCCGCAGCTTATCGTATATGTAGCTTAAACACCGTAATACATCCGAAAACTTTGGCCATATCAATTCCCAGTGAAACATATGATTAGAATATGGTTTGTTTATTGTTTTGTTTTTTGTGTTTGCTTCTGTGTGTATATTTAATGCATAAGAAATGTGTATTTGAAAAAAGGTGTCTTTCTGATATATATCTTAAAAGGACATATGCGCCAATTTTTTTCACCAATCGTACCTTAGTCACAGAATTAGGAATTATTTTAGCTAAACTAATCAGTAATAGAGCTACTTATGTATTTCGAAATTTAACAGTAATTATCTATGGAGTTCCTGGGGTATATATTTACATTACATGCATTTTGTATTTGTATTTCTAGTTGCAAAATTATAAGAAATACAGGAAATGGCGGTCATTGTGGCCCTTCCTATGTTGTTCTACCTATCCTGAAATAATTAACTTTTAAAACGAAATGTTAAAACCTATATTGACCAAACGTTCTTTAATTTATTAGCGCGTCAAATAAGGGCACTCGAGACCCAAACTGGCTCTATAAATTNTTCTACAAGCTAGAACCATAGGGAAATCTAATAGTTCTATCCGACTATTAGCAGCATTTGGCAATCATTAGAATTTCATGCTATTAATTCACCAATTATACATTTTATTTATTCAGTTTGAATAATGGTCGCAATTCAATACTATGATAAGTTGCAGAGCGACAAGTGTAACTTTTACGTTAGGCCGTGTGTATAAGCAGATAAGATATATACAACGTCATCTTTTTTAAATTTCAAATTTGGACCCATTCTGGTGAAGGGATTTTGGTAATTTTTTGTATGTTGTTCTGCAAACCTTGTAGTACAAAATAATACCATAAAACAATTTCTTGCAATTGTTTGGGGGTAATACTCTATTATTATTATTTTGCATAATTTTGTTGAAAATTGATTTAATGCCTGACATATAGCCTGCATATCGTTAAAACGAAATAATTTTAAAAAATATTGAAAAGGGCTCCGCAGCAAAACAAATCCTTACAAGACGAATCATTACGAATAAACATAATTTATAATAGAATAATAATAGAATAACGATCCTTGTCCCTTTCATGGCTCTAGCCCCAGAATTCTGGTTTCAAAGATTCACAAGAAATTACTATCTATTATATATATGATATTATGTTAGATATATATATCACCACTCCCATGACATTTAAATATTTGGAATTTAACGAACGTCAGATTTAGCGCACGTCAACAAATTAGACGTATACGATTTTTTTCGGGGAGAAAATGAAAACCTTTCTTTAGAATATTTACTTTGAACGAATGTGTTCCTATCTCTTCAAACTGGCGGTGGCAAAGCGGTGTTGTGTTTTGTGTACATGACCCCATTTCTATTCTACCGATCTGATTGGCCAGATGTAAATGTTACCAATCTCATTTCCACTTCAAGAAATCGAAGTGTAGTGGGCTTAGTTTAATACGGGTTAATAAGACCGTGTCAAAACCCGCATTCGTGATACGATGACCCACCGACAGTTGTCAGAAAATGACGTCATAAATGATTGTATTAACTGGTAGAATATATAGAATAATTATGTTATTTATATGTTGTAGAGAAATGCTTTAATGGAAAGAGCGGCTACAGATGGAGTTGATGGTAACAATAGATTGAAAGTTGCTCCTATTAAAAAACCAGGTAGATTAGCCTCCTGTATTTCTGTTTTAAGCAAAGCTGATATCACCTGGGCGTGATCTCTGATTGTTGTGATTCTTGGGTTTGTGTGGTAGCTCAGTGAGTAAAGATCATGCTCACTAACCAGGGTTCAAGGTGCATTCTAGTACCCAGATAGATACAAGTCATTTTTATTTGCCCACATCTCTTTTAAATTGATGTAGGCCTATTTCTGCATACTTATTAAA